GAAGGAAATGAGCTGAGCAGAGATGATGGGATAAGCATCTTGCTCCCTGGAGGCGTGTCCTCCTGCTAAAGGCTTGGTGTGCTGGTGCGTCTCCCGTTCTGCATTGATGCTGTAGTGATGCCCGAGGGAGGAGTAAGATGCTGGAGCATGCTCACTAGGTCCCCAGCATCTTCCTAGTCAGAACTCATTCACTGCCAGAGAGCCAGTATCTTATAGGGTGAAGCTCAGCGTCATCTGACCAGTACGGACCAAAATGGTGGGGCTGGGGCCTTAAACAAGCTCCCCTGATTCAGGAAATTCAGAAAGGGAGAGAGGCTCAGGATCCAAGTAAGATCCAAACAAGAGGAGCCCAATCCCAAACAGAGGATTGCCTGAGCATCCTCTTAAAGGTAAGAAGATTTTTTTTTCTTATTTCCTGATAGAGTCTGTGTTCAAAAAACCCTCTGACGTACATTGTCAGCCTCCAGGTGCACTGTGGAAATCATTGGGGTATCTGGAGGTGCTCTGACTTGGGGGGGAGGGGAGGGATAATCAGCATCCCCTCATAGCATCAGAGGATCAGAGATCTGGAGCTGAAAGGATCCTTGGAGATCATCTAATCTGGGCCATTTCATTTTACAGATTAAGAAACTGAGGACCAGAGAGATTAAATTATTTTCCCAAGGTCACACAGGTAATCAGTAGCAGAGTCAAGATGTGAACCTGTGTCTTCTAACTCTAAGACCCAGAAGTCTGGAGTGAGAAAATCTGCTTCATTCATGCCAAGAGCTCAGGCCCCTAAAGACTAATTCTTTGGCTTGTCCCATCAGAATATAAGCTCCCCAAGGTCAGGAAAGGTTTCTGCCTTTCTTTGTGTCATTCCCAAAACCCTCATACATAGTGAATGCTTAATAAATGGTTGTTGACTGACTGACAGACTCATAGAGGATATTAGTTTCTAAGGCATGGTTTTCTGTGTTACCTGAAGCAAGTCACACATTCCTTATACCTCAATTTTCTCACCTGTAAAATGGAGGTGACAATACTGGTACCATGCTTCCTATTTCATTGAGTTGTGAGGAACGTACTTTATAAACTTTAAAACCCTATAGAAATGCAAACTATTGTTACTGTTTGCTGTGTGACCCTGGCCAAATAATTTCAGCTCTCTGAGCCTCAGTTTTCTCATCAGTAAAATGGGAACTAGATAATCACTAAGGCAGCTAGGTGGCCCAGTGGATGAGCATTGGATCTAAGTTCAAATCTGGCCTCAGACACTTACTAGTTGTATGACCCTGGGCAAGTCACTTAACCCTGTTTGCCTCAGTTTCCTCATATATAAAATAGGGCTAATAATAGCACCTTCCTCTCAGGGTTGTCGTGAGAATAAAATGAGATATTTGTAAGTGCTTTGTAAAGTATTATATAAATGGTAGCTATTATTACAATTAGGGCAGCTAGGTGGCATGGTGGATAGAGTATAAGGCCTGGAGTCAGGAAGACTCATCTTCCTGAGTTCAAACCTAGCCTTAGATCCTTAGTAGCTGTGTGACCCTGAGCAAGTCACTTAACCCTATTTGCCTCATTTTCCTCATCTGTAAAATGAACTGGAGAATGAAATGGCAAACTACCCCAGTATCTTTGCCAAGAAAACCCCCATATGGGGAAATGAATAGTTCGGATACTACTGAAAAATGACAGAACAACAAAATTATTACAATTATCTCAGACCCCTTTCAATGCTAGTTTCTATGATAAGATTTTTCCATGCCTATAGCTTCATAAGACACCTCCAAGGAATTATGGAAGCATAGATTTAGAGCTGAAAAGGATCATAAAGGTCATCTGAGCTGGTGGTGTCAAATTCAAATAGAAATGAGGGGCACTAAACTTTACCTAAGGATCTTGGTGGGACACATATTGGATTGGTTTTTAAGTGCTATGTTGTCTGTGTTTTATTAAAATTTTATTTATTTTGTTAAATATTTCCCAATTACATTTTAATCTGGTTCAAGCCGCACATGCGATCAGTGTCACAGGCTGGACACAAGGTCCACAAACAGTGAGTGAATTGCCCAAGGTCCTCTAGATCCTGATTAGCGAGGCCGTACTTTAACATTTGCAGTGAGGGCAGCGCTTTGTAAACTTTAAAGCACTACAGAAATGTGAGTTATTATTGTTATTATGCCTTGTGGGAGCCTGGGGACTTCATTTCCCTCTTATAGGCCTTATAGCTCCACCTTGCATGGTTGCTGTGAAGAAGTACTTTGAAAACTTGATGCACCGTAGAAATGTTAAGTCGTTAATATTATCGAAACAGATACAAATACAAGCAAGCAAGATGACCCCTGACTGCAAAGAGCTTCCATTCTAATAGAGTTAAACATCACATGAAGAGTAGTTAGAGTTGGAAAGACGGTTCTCTAGGAGTGGCATGATGGCTGGTTCTCGGCATGTAAAGTAGAAGCTCACCTATCCCAGCCCAGGGTCCTGGGGGCAGAATCTCAATTCCTGTGGGAGGAGGAGAAGGATGGCTAAGCACAGAACTCTTGAAATCGGTGTCTCTGCTTGGGCAGGGGCTTTTCTTTCCTGCTAACTTTTGACCATTTAAATTGCCCAAAAGTTGATAATCGAGACCTTTTGACCAAATCTGCTTTGGGTACATTCCCTTCACAATCGAGTCAAGACCAGCTCAGTCTAAAGGAATTAATGCCCGTGATCCCTGTTTCCACTTGTATGTATCCCAGTCTACATATGGGGGTCTTAGAGGCATTTGCAAAAAAAAGCAAGACTAGCCAGTGAATATTGAAAGCAATAGCCTTTATTACAAGCGCTGTTACTGCACATGAAGGAGAGCTTAATGGAACCCCCAGAGGTTGCCAGGGTGGGAATATAGAGGGGAACAAAGGGGAACAAGGGCAGGAGAGAGCCAGAGTGGTTGACAGATGTCTTTAGGTTTTAGCAGACAGGTCAACGGAGCCTTGACACTCCCAGCTTCAGGTCTCTAAGTTACTTTAGTCAGTCTGAGGGATGACTGTGGCCTTATCTCCTCCACAAGAGCATCACTCAGGCCCATATATACGTGCACATACACACACACACACACACACACACACACACACACACACACACA